TCAAAATACATGTACTAATATATATATATTAGTTCATGTAACTTGAAATGAAATGTGGAAAGTTATGTTTTAGAATCTATGAAATAGAACATATTCCTATATATTCATTAGTTTATTTAAAGGAGACCCTTATTCTGTTGTGTCAATTAATATATTCCTGTACCAATAACATGCTGCGTTAATTACTATAACTTTCTTGTATATTTTGCTATCTAATAGGGCCAAGTCCTTCCATGTTGTTCTAAGTTTTCTTAGCTATTCTTGACATTTGTTTTCCTAAAGAACTTTTGAATCAGTTTGACAATTTTCAGAAGAAAATTCCATTGAGAGTTTTAAAATTGGGATTGCATTGGAGAAACTAAGATGGCAACATAGGGGAACACCGAGATTGCTGCCTCCTACAACAACTTCAGAAACGCAATAAAAGGACAGGACGGTCATCATCCAGAACTACAGGAAGGCTGGCGGAGTGGAAATGCTACAACTAGAAGGAAAGAGAAAAGCACATTGAGGGTCAGGAGCTGCAGAAGTAAAATGCAAAGGTACAGAGGCTCGAGCGCACGCAGAAGGGGGCTGGTACCTGAGGCTGGGGAGAAAGTCACAAGCTCCCGACTGCTCTGAACTCCGGTTCCGGGAAGTCTCTGGGGACCCAGGACTCATATGGGGAGAAACTGGACTGTCTGGAAGCGGGCAGAACTCGGAACTGGAGGGCGGCTTTCCCTCAGAGGTGCTGGCAGCAATTAAATTATCAGGACACTGAGACGCGCCAGCCCCTCAGGGCAGGGCTGAGAATCCGCCATAGCTGCTTGCTCCGCCCTTTGATTCCCTGAGACCCTGCCCCACCCAGGCTACGGCAGAGGCTTTTGCATATGAATGCTCTGGCCTTCTGCAACCTGAAAATTACCTAACAAACCGAAGCTGGGCCACAGACCCAGAACTTCCAAGAGAAGGCCCGACGCCCCACAGCAGCTTGCATTGCTTCACAGCTGGGCCTCATCAGGGCACCTCCAAACCCCAAACAAAGAAGAGGAATCTGCAGATCTCTCCGTAGCTCCTACTGGGTAGCCTCAGGCAGAGGCTAAATTAGCACCTCCTTAGAGATCCAAGAGCCAGTGTACCCAGTGGTCAGAGTGGGACCATCCAGATTACAACTCCTCA